TTAAACGAAAACTTTCTAAACTATGGGGTTGGACTAAAGATGAAAGGTTGTATGGTAAGATGTATTAAGGGATAAATATATTCCCTCCTCCAATCATGCCACTGATTATGGGATTATCTTTGACCTAGTTATTTTTGTTTATCTTTTCCTATAATCATGTATATTAACTTCCGTATATATCTCCTGTCCTTGTATATTTATTTGATTGTATTCTTCTGCAAATTAATCAAGAAATACATTCTCCAAATTATCTCTTCTCTATATGGTATCAGCCTAACGATCCCACCCCTTCATCTCTTCTTTCTGTTCTCTGCTTCTCTCGCCCTCCATGGCCACTCCTACCTCCTCACATCAAATTCCCAATAATAGCGATCCCACTAAGCCCTTCATCTTCCTCAATATCCCAAACGCTATCAAGCTCACTGCCACGAACTATCTCTTCTAGAAGATGCAGATTGAGGCCATCCTTGTTGGTCATGATCTCTTCCAATTCGTTGATGGTTCCCTTCCTCCTCCTCCTATGGCCATTACGGACAATGATACACCAACTTCGAATCCCGACTTCTCATTCTGGACTCGACAAGACAAGTTAATCTGTGGTGCTCTTGTAGGCACCCTATCCTCACCTCTGGTTCCGCTTGTATCTCAAGTCAAATCCTCTAAACAATTTTGGGATATTCTTGCCAAAACCTACGCCACCCCTAGTCGTGGCCATATCAAACAACTCAAGGAACAACTCCTTAAAATAACCAAAGGAAATCGCACCATAACCGAATTCATGCAGGACATTAAAGTCTGCACTGGCCAATTAGCAGCCCTAGGAAAGCCTCAAGAACACGAGGACTTGATTGATCGTATCCTCGCTGGTCTTGATGAGCCCTACACCTTAGTTATTGAGTCTGTGAATGCCAGGGATAACCCCATTTCTTTTGAGGAGTTGCATAAAAAACTAATTAACAAATAGCTCTCCTTACTCCAAACCCGCTTTTCCTCTTCTCTTCCTGCCACGGCTTTTGCTGTTTCAACCAGAAACCAAAACCGTAACACTCCTCGCTCTTCTACAGCCGGTATTCAGCCCACTCCTAACTCTCAAAACAAACAACCTCGTCCTTTCTTAGGTAAATGTCAATGGTGTCACGTACAGGGACATGTTGTTACTCAATGCTCCCTGTTCAAACAACAATTCTCGATTGCCTCTCCTCCCAATTTCTTCTCTTCCTCCAGCAACCGTCCATCCTCTGTACCTCAGGCCAACACTGTCAATCTCACACCATCCTCCTCCTCACTCTCGTCTCCTTGGTTACTTAACAGTGGTGCATCACATCACGTTACCAATGACCTCAATAATCTCTCTCTTCACTCCCCTTATGATGGCACTGAGGAACTTATAGTCGGTGATGGTACGGGACTAACAATTACGCACTTTGGTTCTATTACTCTTTCTACTTCTCTTACTTAAAATAATGTACTAGTTGTTCCTGCTATTTCCAAGAATATCATTTCTTTTTCTCAGCTCTGTCATGACAATAATATTTCTGTCATTTTCTCACTATTCCAGGGCCTATCTAAAGCCGACATCTACAAAATTCTGTCTGACTCTCCTGCAGTTTTCACAAGCACAAAATCAAATTCCCTTCATTGGCACCATCGTCTTGGTCACCCATCTCAAAATGTCTTTCGTTTACTTATATCTACTAATAATCTTAATGTTTCTAGTATGTCTACTTTAGCTTGTAATTCCTGTGCTTGTAATAAAAGTCACCGTCTTTCTTTTGCTACTTCCACTATTTCTTCCACTGCTCCTCTAGAATTTGTTTACACTGATCTATGGACAACTCATTGGCAGCCTACAATATCTTGGCCTCACTAGGCCTGATATTGCCTTCACAGTCAACAAATTAGCACAATACATGCAACATCCAACAGCACTTCACATGCAAGCTCTACATCGTCTTCTACGATACTTGAATGGCACCTCGCATATGGGTTTAATTATTCACAAAGACTCTCCCTTATCTCTCCATGCCCCCAAAAAATGGAACAACTTTGTTGACCTCAAACACCAAAGTAGAACGTACTACCAAAACATGAGGTACCTGATGTTTTAGAAGATATGTGTGAGTTAGAATTTCAAAGGACTTGAGACTCATGGAGGTTAGACAATCACTTTAATAATAGTTTTCCAAGTTCTTTTGAAGGTGAAGGTTTACTTCTTAGTATGTTTGTGCATGTCTTGGGAAGGTGAGTTGGGTTTTATTGTCTTTATCCAATGGTAAATGAATCCATTGTTTTGAAAAAATTCATCTTCAGCCAAAGCAAGCTCAACAAATGAATTTTTTGAGGGATTCATAGTAGTTCAACCAAAGTCTTCTCTCGAGGAAAGACAAAAAATACTCAGGGTCCAATTGTGACTCTATTCGTACAGTTACTCAGTTAGGTAATAAAATTTAGGAAAATTTGCAAATTACCACCCAAAAATAGTATCAATTTCTAAATAACCACCCATTTAAAATTTTATTTTAAATTACCACCCACTAAAATATTTTTTTATGCAGATTACCACCTTTTTTCAAAATCCGGTGGAATTCAGATGAGTGGGGCCCTCCTAACGGCTACTAACGGCTAGTTTCTCCTTCCCAATTGAATTTCCCCCCGATTTTCCCCCTATATAACATTTCTCCTAACCTAATTTGCGATTTGGACTTCAAAATTTCCCCAAATTCCTCAAATTTCAGCCCCTTGTAATTGCTGTAACATCTTGAAGAAACCTCAGAGGTGAATTCGCATCAGGTAACCTATTACATTCTTTAAATTTAGGGTTCTAATTGTGCTGAAATTGGGGAAAACTTGTTGATTAATTGCTAACCTCTGACGTCGCCATTGACAGCAAGCAATTGTCAGGTGAATGAACTCAGCACGTGGTCCCCAGCAGACGCCCTAACAATGGTGATTTTCTCAAACAACCTTCAAGCTAAACCCCAATTACACAGGAGCAAATTTTTCTCTCAACTTAAACTAATTTAGGGTTTTAATCTGCAATTTAGGATCTAAATTTGAAGAGTGGGTGAGAATTTATGGAGTTAGGTGAATTTGAAGAGAGAATTGACTGAGAGAATTGAGAGAGGAGTAGCTTACAATAGTGAAATCGACTAAAAATAAAAAAAATTAGGAGGGCAATAGCGACTGTGGGCTCCACACACCTGAAATCAACCGGAAATTTAAAAAGGGTGGTAATCTGCGTAATTAAATATTTTAGTGGGTGGTAATTTAAAATAAATTTTTTAATGGGTGGTTATTTAGAAATTGATACTATTTTTGGGTGGTAATTTACAAATTTTCCTAAAATTTACATCTTATAGAGAAGAGATAATTTGGAGACTGTATTTCTTGATTAATTTGCAGAAGAATACAATCAAATAAATATACAAGGAGAGGAGATATATACGGAAGTGAATATACATGATTATAGGAAAAGATAAATAAAAATAACTAAGTCAAAGATAATCCCATAATCAGTGGCATGATTGGAGGAGGGAATATATTTATCCCTTAATACGCCCCCGCAAAACGGTCGGCCATGAGGAAAGACCGATTTTGGATATCAACGATGTGTAGGACTGTCTGGGAAGAGGTTTCTTTGTTAGAGCAACTGCCAACTGATCATTTGTAGATATATATGCAACTCGTAGGTTCCCAGCTTGGACATTTCACGAACGAAATGGTAGTCTAGTGCCAAATGCTTCATTTTGGAGTGGAAGACCGGATTGGCGCTGACATAGGTTGCCCCGGCATTGTCACAATATATGACCGGTGGCAGCTGCAACTTAGGACCAAATTTGTAAATACCTTTACGGTCTATTTAGTAGGTGATGATGAGAAGAAATTTGTAAAAAGTGTCTTACATCAATATCCATGTTAATGATAATTCACCCTAAAATATCTCTTTTCTACATAAATTTTTGTAACATTTTATTACCACTATAAGGGTGATGTTCAACTGTAATGAAAATATATCATGAAAGTATATCAAGAAACATACTATTCTTTTCCGTAAAAAAAAAAATAAAAAAAATAATAATAATAATAATGAAGAAACATACTATTCTTGGGACAGTAAGGATGCATTTCCATGTACATTAATAAGGATGATATTTTTTTCTTTTACAAAAGTATACATAAATAGTCACGCTACGGCCGTTGATTTCCAACTACTAAACAAGCCGTGAAAGTATACATATTCATCAAAGACTGACTTAATCAAACCCATCCTCATTCTTAATCGAGGATTATGATTGAAGATGAAACTTTATTGTTAGAGCCAAGTTATTAAAATTTCAATTATACAAATTATGTTGTTTTTACTAGAATAATATATTCTTAAATTTTGAATTTTGAATTTTTGAAATTTAATAACGAAAATTTTGAATTATATTTGTGTGAAAATAACTGTAAATAGAAGAATTATTGATATCGGGATATTTTGAAATGATTTAACATCAAATTTTTGGTAAAAATCAATTAATAATTATCTTTTACCTTTTTAAAAAAAACTATTTTTAGGAAATTACTGTGTTATTTATATTTTAGTGACACGTTCCTTTATAAAGTCATGATGTTTTTATAACTATATACTATGTTCGTTCTGCTTTAATTCGGTGTACGAACCAACAATTATTTGTTGTCTTGTTTACTTTTCCCACACCCTAAAAACAAAAACAAAAAAAAAAAAAAAAAAAAGGCCAAAAAATGAGTAGATCGAAATCTAACTCAACTATCTTAAGGGTGCCTTGTAAAATTGTAATATGAAAGAGATCCTTATACACGAATGAACAAGGTGCCTCCAAAAATATATTGGTTATACTCATTTAAATATCAAAAGAACAAATAATATAAATAAAAAATAACATTGGGTTCATCTTGCATCGTGGTTAAAGGTGTCAATTTAGATATTTGGATTGGATCTGATGTGATCAGTTTGGATGGTCAATTTTTAAAGTTAAGTCATATCAAATTATTGTACCAACGCGAGTTTAAATCTGAATCGAATATTTTTCGGGTCGGTTTCGGATTGAATCGGGTTGGGTGTACTTTTGACAACTTCTATTCGTGGCGGAGTGTACACAAATTTTGCTGATAAAATAAAAGTTGTTACTTCTGCCATAGGAGCGTCAAAAGTTGCTTAAGATCATCATATGATCATATGTCCTACTGATCAACTGATCTCTCTCTAACATTGCCTATTTCACAAATTTTAAGCATTACAAAGGCACTGGTAATTTCTTCACCTTTGTTCATCCTTTAATTTCCCTGAGTTATTTTTTAGGCGTATTAATTTTTACTTTTTTTATTTCCCAATTTCTGTCTTTGCTTTGTTTGATTCACCATTACATTTGCAATATTTATAATGGGTTTATCACAATTAGCATTTATTTTGTGAAATTTTTAATTTTGGGGGCCATATTTATCAATAGAAGCTTTAATTTTTGGGATCAAGTTATTTTCTAGGGCTTTAATCAATTGGGTTATTTTTGCTACTTCCCAAAAGATTAATGTGACTTAATCCAATTTGGGTTGTGATATTTTTGCGATTAGGCTTGATTGTTGGGTTAGAAATTCGCTTAAAACTTCAATTTCAGGCAGAAATTGAAGGTTTTTCTTTTTTTTTTGCTAAATTTATAAAGAGTTCAGTTTTACCTGCCAAATTTGTCATATCGTTGTAAACAAGGTAATATCTTGTTTGTTGCTAACATGTGATATTTCACTGAGCCTAGCAAGAATAATTTATGGGATATTTTAGTCAAGTTATGATGTGAATGGTTTGGATCGTGTTCCGAAGAATAGAAATCAATGAATCTAGTTGTTTTTAGTTGGGAGAAGATATAATGTACCATGGGTTGAGGAGTTTTTAGAGTTTTATAGAAGTAAACAGATATTAGCTTATGTTGGTGTTTTCGGCTTCTAGATTTTCCCATGTGAATGAACCAAGAGAACGGTGAGAATTTAGGATGGTGAATTTTAGCAACACTTTCGAAGGACAAAGTAGCTTGATCATGCTAATCAGATGTTTGAAAAAGGGGAAAAGGAGACGAATTGATTACATTGTGCTATGGACTAGAGGAATCTTATCAATCTTGAAGAGTTGAATATTCACGTTATGTGACATAGATTACACTGTGCTACTGAAATAGATTGTGAATATGCAAGTGTTTGAGTTGGAAATCATGAAGAGTTGGATATTCATGTTATGTGACATGTTTATCAGGTGTTTGTCAAGTTAGCTGTACTAAAAAATGTAAGTTGTTTTGCAAACATGGTTTGCTGTTAGAATTGCGAGAATTTTTTGTATCTATGGCTCCGCTTATTTTAGTGGAAAGCAATTATCTTGGAAAATGATTTTCCTCCATTTTTCCATTTTCCTTTGTTATTTTAAAGGGTGTAAAATAATTTTCTCATAGGTGGAAAGTTATTCTTTAGAGATCTGCAGAGAATGTATGCCACATTTTCCTCTTTACTCCTCACTTCTCTTTTTTCTCTCCTCTATCCTCTCCCGCCCTTTTGCTTCCAATTTTCTTTTTATCATAAGTTTTCCTATAAATAAACAAAGGAAAACTCTTTTCACTGCATTGAAAATTGTTTTCATTAGAAAAGTAGAAAATGATTTTCCATCAAAATGAACTGAGCTTATGTTGAAAGTTTTCCAAGTCTCTAGTATCATATGGTATACCAAACTATATCATTCCTAATCAGAGGTTCAAATATTTTTGAACTTTTTCTTTTGTAATTGGAGTGAGGTGGTTTGCATGTGTCTCTGATTCAAAAGACGTAGAATAGGTTATTATTTGGAGCAACTGAGAAGCTGTTGACAGCTTATTGAAACAATACATTTTGTCCATTAGAGTTTCAAAAAAGGGGGAGACAATGTTGTGAACGTCTCAATGTCAGTGCTTAAGTTTTGCTTGATTCCTACTGTATTGCTCACTAAGGACTGGACTTTTGGGGAAAGCTTGTATCAAGCATAAGCACTATGATGTCATACTTAAGATTAGGTGAAGACAAGGATTGATTATTTTGTTATGCTTGTATTGAGATTTGGAATCCAGGACAATTCTTTTGTCATTCATCATCCAATGTTACAATATATGGAGTACTTTCAAATGCAAGAAGTTATTGATGCCTTCTTGATCCAGGTAGTTATATGTAATTTGTAGATTTTTAACTTTCATTTTACTGGTGACAGAGTATTACTTATGATCCTTGTAAAGATTGGCTGCCACAACAGTGATTACCCTGCACGTGTGGCTCTGTTCCAACTTCCAAGCACCAGTTCATTTGATATTCTTATATGAAAAAGTTTCAGAGAACCATTTCTGAGTGGCAGTTCTTCTGTGTTCTACATTGACCGTCCTATTTCCTGTTAAGATTTTTTTTATCAAACCTTGTTTTATGCTCTCATTCTGGCCAATTTCAGCTCAAATTTCCTATAAAGTTTAACCTCCATTCACTCCAGGGCCCTCCCCAGTCGCCACAATGCCTTTCCTTCCCCATATCTCAATTGTTTATGTTTGGATGCTTTTTTTTTTTGGTCTTTGTACTATGTTTGTGTAAGAACTTACATATTCAGCATCTAGACTTGTATGTCAATTACTTCGTATTTGTTATCTCTTTCTTCCCACTCCCTTTCTTTTCCTCTCTTGATATTTCCAGAGTAGGAATTCTAATTTGGGCTTTCGTCATTTGTTAGGTCAATTTGCTTTTGATTGAATGGGGTTAATCACTGCTCAGGGTAAACAGCCCCTCTTCCCTTTTGGAGTTATATCAGATGTTCAATATGCTGATATTCCTGACGGTCGCTCCTTTCTTGGTGTGCCTCGATATTACAGACACAGTGTACTTGTGTTGGAAAGGGCGGTCCAGAAATGGAATAGCCTCCAAAATCTTAGTTTTGCTGTCAATTTTGGCGACATTGTTGATGGATTCTGCCCTAAGGACCAGTCTCTAAATGCTGTAAAGATGGTTGCTTCCAAATTTGAAGAATTCAATGGCCCTGTATACCACATGATTGGCAACCACTGCCTTTATAATCTTTCTCGTGAAACGCTACTCCCATTATTGAAGATTCCAAGTCATGATTGCAGCGCTTATTATGATTTTTCACCAACACCTGGTTACCGATTAGTTGTTCTTGATGGCTATGATATTAGTGTCATAGGTTGGCCTCAAGATCATCCAAAATCAATGGAAGCTGTGAGATTTCTCAAGGAAAAGAACCCGAACTTAGATAAAAATAGTCCTGTTGGACTCAGTGATCTTGAAAGAAGGTTTCTGATGTTCAACGGAGCAATTGGAAGGGAACAGCTGGAATGGTTAGATCAAGTCCTCCAGAATGCAACTGATCTGAAACAGAAGGTGATCATCTGCTGTCACCTGCCTCTAGATCCTGGCGCAACAACACCTGAAGCACTTCTATGGAATTACAATGAAGTGATGGATGTTATACGCAAATACAAGTGTGTAAAAGTCTGCCTTGGTGGCCACGAACATAGAGGGGGTTACTCGGTTGATTCCCATGGGGTCCACCACCGTATTTTCGAAGCAGCCCTTGAGTGTCCTCCCAGTTCGGATGCATTTGGGTATGTTGATGTGTATGACGATAGAATATCACTTGTTGGAACTGATAGGATGAAGAGCACAGATATGGTGTTTGATTCGTGACCTCTTACTATATGCTAATGTATTCTTTATCTAACAAATTATTCCTCTTCCAGTTCTTCCTATACCATATTGTTACGTTATTGTTAGATTCGATAGCTGGTGCCTTATGGTCCATTTATCATTTCTTTTGTAAATGAGTTCCGTTGATGGTATTACCAACTGCAGAAAGTAGGTCTGATTACCACGAATAAACATTATACTACTATTTTAGTGTCTCCTGCTTTCTTGCTGGAAATAATTTTTTGCTCGCCCCTAATTTCTTAGCATGGATTTTTGCAGAACTTCAGACAAACAATGCTACTGTCTTATCTTGCTTATTTGTTGTGCGGAACTTCAGGCAAACAATGCTACTTTCTTGTCCTACTTATTTGTTACGAAATAGTCGTAACTTGTAAGTAGCATTCAGAAATATCATGACATTTCACTTTTAAGAATGCTTGCTTGTTTTGCATGATCCCTTGCTCATTTTCATTCCCTTAATGATATGGAGTATATTGTACTGAATATCATGATGTTATCTGAGAAGAGTCGCCATAAATTCTTTATTTGTTATCCTTCGATCCATTGTGATGCATGCACTTCGCATTCTGAACAGAGCTGATGGGTCTGCAGGAAGGGGAGGATGAGAGCCTCCGAGATTATCTAACTCGTTTTGCCAAAACGAGTTATCCAGAATAACAAGTCTGGACCAAGGGCTAGCCGTTTTCGCATTGCGGAACGACCTGCAAGCTGGAAAGTTCCTTGACTTCATGGTTACGCATCCACCGCAGACCTTGGAGGAAGCTCTAGATGTCTCTGATAAATACATCCGGGCCAAAGAATGGAACAAAATCAAATCCCAGTCCCAATCCGGTGCTAGGAAGGCAAAAGGACAGCAGTCCTTGGGCCAGGGCAAGAGAAAAGGGAAGGCGAAAGCCTCAGAATTGCCCTCGGCTCCTGGGCGAAGAAAGAAAAAACCCCATTCACGGGGAGATATGAATCGTACACTCCTCTCGCCCTTCCGCGTGCCAAGGCCACTCCCACCGTGGCATCAGCAGAAAGGCAAAGACCGGTGGTGTGAGTTCCATGAATCTCCTGGACATCATACCGAGAACTGCCTCCAGTTGAAAGATCAGATCGAGGATATGGTCCGAAAGGGCTACTTGAAAAAATATCTCGCGGATCGCTTCGAAGAGAAAAGAGCCGAAAAAGATCCTCGGCGAGATCTGGGTTTCCCTGGAAAAAAGACAAGCCGCAAGGCAAAGACAATCTTAACATCCTTTTCATTTCCGGAGGAACCTGCTCTCGGAATGCGTTAAAACGCCACTTGAGGGGCTTGACCCATCAAGTGAATCATGCTGACATCCGAGCACCCAAGTCTCCGGTGCCGAACATCACGTTCACAGTCGAAGACTGTCGGGGGTGGTATACCCCCATGATGACCCGCTGGTAATTGTTACGGGCATCAAGAACTACAACGTCTGGCGAACTCTCGTCGATGGTGGTAGTGGTGCGAATATCCTCTTTCGGGGAGCCTTTACCAGCTGAAGTTGGAGACCAAGCACCTGACTCCAGTACCCTTCCCGGTATTTGGATTCAATGGTTCTTCAACATATCCTGATGGGAAGATTTCTCTTCCTATCACCATTAGCAAAGGCCAAACAGCCCGGAATATCATGGCCAAGTTTTTGGTCGTGGACGTTCCGTCTGTGTACAATGTGATTATGGGGAGACCCATAATTCATGAGATTCAAAGAGTTGTCTCGACATACCATCCGATGATGATATATGTCTCGGACGAGGGACACTCCGAAAGAGTTCAAGGCAGCCAAATGGAGGCCCGAAGATGTAACCACCTCAAGCCACCCAAAAGTTACCGCGACGACAGGGATGATGAGGAAGAGAGAGAAAAGGATTGATACGCAAAAATGCCTAAAGGCTTAAGTGCTTCGGCCCAAGGTACTACCCCAACAAAAGAAAAATCTATGGGGAAAGAAAAAGCTGGTTCATCATCTAAGCCGAAAGACTCAGAGCACCAGCAGAAGTCTGGGAAGCCTGTTGATATTGACAGCAGGCTAGATTGCGAAGAGTCTAGTTCCAAAGCTATGGAACTGGATCATCAGACTGAATCAATAGAGTTGGCCGAAAGGGATACGGAAAAATCTGTCAGCATCGGACTCGAACTTGATCCGAGCGTTCGCGTTGAACTTATCCAACTCTTTCGGGACAACAAAGATGTGTTCGCTTTCTCGGCAGCAGACCTCATCTCTCACAAGCTTAATGTCGACCCCACATGTCGACCAGTTAAGCAAAAGAAGGGGAACTACTCTGCAAATAAGAACCAAGACATCACAGCCAAGGTCAAAAAAATCCTAGATGTTGGTTTCATTGAACCTTACCAATATCCGGAATGGTTGGCCAATGTAGTGATGGTTCAAAAGGCAAATGGCACCTGGAGAATGTGTGTTGACTTCACGGATCTAAATAGGGCCTGTCCGAAGGACTTTTATCCCTTGCCGAGGATCGATCAGTTAGTCGACTCGACAAGTGGGCATGCCCTGCTTAGTTTCATGGATGCATTCTCGGGGTATCATCAGATCTTCATGCATCCCGATGACCGAGAAAAAACGGCCTTCGTTACAAATGCCGGGGTGTATAACTATAAAATGATGCCCTTTGGATTGAAGAATGCGGGGGCAACATATCAAAGGTTGATTGATTAGGTCTTCGTCGAGCAAAAAGGCCATAACATGGAAGTCTATGTTGACGATTCGATCGTCAAAAGCAAAAAGGACCAAGACCATGTCACGGACCTGGCCGAAACCTTCCCCACCCTTAGAATGCATCAAATGAAGCTGAATCTGAAGAAGTGTGTCTTCGGCGTAAAGTCAGGAAAGTTCCTCGGCTTCATGGTCAGCAAAAGGGGGACTGATGCCAATCCCGCCAAAGTTCAGGCAACACTCAAACTTCCCGAGCCGAGAACAAAGAGGGACGTTCAACGCCTCACTGGTAAAATGGCTTCCCTGTCCAAGTTCATCTCTAGAGCCTCGGATAAAGGGTTGCCCTTCTTCAAAGCACTAAAAGTCCCTAAATCTAAAGAGCTCATATGGGAAGATGAGCAAAAAGAAGCCTTTAAGAAACTCCGTGAGCATCTGGCTCAACTCCCGACGCTGGCACACCCAGTCGAAAGAGAAACTCTGTACTTATATGTGGAAGTTAGCCTGGCCACTATAAGCGCGGTTTTTCTGAGGGAAAAAGAAAAAATTCAGCAGCCGATCTACTTCGTCAGTCATACTCTGACGAATGCCGAGACTCGCTACCCCCTACTCGAAAAAGATGCATATGAAGTAGTGGTAGCCGCTTGGAAGCTGAGGCCCTATTTTGATTGCCATCAAATAGTGGTCTTAACAGATCAACCGCTGGAAAAAGTCATCGGCAAAGTTGAAAAATCAAGTAGGCTAGCAAAGTAGGCCTTCGAGCTCACCGAGTTCAGCATTAGTTACCAGCCGAAAGCAGCCATCAAGGCTCAAGCCTTGGCGGATTTCCTGGCCGAGTGTTCTTATCAAGAGACGCTGGACGAGGAAAAGAAAGTGTGGACTATTTTCACGGATGAATCCTCCACCGTAAATGGTTTGGGGGCAGAGGTAGTTGTAACCTCGCCCGAAGGCAAGTCCTTTGAATATGCACTGAAATTCTCATTCAAGGATTCAAATAATGAAGCTGAATATGAAGCAGCAAACGTTGGCTTAGAGTTGTGCATAACATTGGAGGCCGAACACGTCTGTTTAAAGACAGACTCTCAGCTTGTCGCAAATCATATCTGAGGTGAATATGAGGCCAAAGAGCCCTCAATGATAGCTTACTTTGCAAAGATCAAAACAGTCATTGCGAAGCTGAGAACCCTTGAAGTCGAGCTGATCCCAAGGGGTCAGAACGCACAAGCCGATGTGCTCTCCAAACTTGCAAGTTCAACTCTAAAGGAGCTGAACTGATCTGTATATGTGGAGGTGCGCCGAGAAAAAAGTGTGGACGAATCACCTGAGATATGCTGCGTCACACATTAGCCGAACTAGATGGACCCCATCCTAGCTTACAAGCTTCGGGGAGAAATTCCCAAAGACCGGAACTTAGCCTCCAAACTGAAGAGAAATCAGTTCAATGTTCATCATCTTCATACGAGAGCTGCTAAAAAGTCCTTTTCAGCTCCACTATTAAAATACGTGGGACCGACAGATGCTGACTACATCCTTCGAAAGATCCACCTCAGCATCTGTGGAAATCACATTGGGGGATGGGCTTTAGCCCACAAGGCATTGAGGGCTGGGTAATATTGGCCCACCATGATTCTCGACGCTAAGAAGCTGGTCAGAAAATGCAAAAAATGTAAAAAAATTCGCACCAGTCATTCATCAGCCAGCCCGAGATCTTCAGTCGATTCTGAACCCGCTTCTATTTGCTCAATGGGGACTAGATATCTTGGGGTCGTTTCCCGGTGCTCCATTTAAAAAAAGATGGCTGATAGATAGCATAAACTATTTCAGCAAATGGATTAAGGCCAAGGCAGCCTCGAACATCACAGAGCAAAGTATCACGAAGTTCATCTGGCAAAACATTATCACCTCGCTTCGGAATGCCGAAGGTCTTTGTCTTCGATCATGGGAGGCAGTTTGATAATTTGCCGCTAAAGCGGTAAACTGATCAGTTTGGCATCAAGTTGGCATATTCTGCGGTATGTTATCCGCAGAGTAATAGTCAAGCCAAGCTGCAAACAAACAAATTCTCAACGCTCTCAAGGAGAGAGTTGAAGATCAAAAATCTTAGTGCATAGAGGGACTTCCAGGAACCCTCTAGTCACTTCGGACAACCAAAAAAGAGGCAGACATTCACCTTTCGAATTGGTGTATGGACCCGAAGCCGTTTTTCCAGTGGAAATTGGCACAGAAAGTTCGCGAGAAAATCTCTTCTCGACCGAAGAAAATGAGCAACTCATGAAAGAATCCCTTGAATTTCTGGACGAGGTCAGAGATTCGGTCCGAGACAGAATGGCTGCATATGAGCAAAGAATCAGCAAATTTTACAACCGAAGAGTCCACGCAAGACTTTTCAAAATTGGGGATCTTGTTCTCCGGAATGCTGCAGCTGTGCAAAAAGGTCGCATTCATGGGAAACTCTTAGCCACTTGGGAGGGACCCTATGAAATTTTATGACGAGCTCCAGCCAGAAACATACCGACTTC